AGAACATGGCTCTACAAAAGCACAATGCTATCAAACACTGTGTATGTTGATACTGAAATCACTTTGGCTGCAAGGCCTTGTGGTGGGTGAGGCAGCTGCTTGGCCCCAGTACCCAGCTGTAACCATTCTGCTGTGTTCCAGATGCTATTTCTCTTGGCTGGGGTTTCTGTACAACACTGTCACCCCCAAGCAAGCATCATACAGCACTGCCATCTCAGCCTCTGCTCTGGGATGAGTATTTGAGTAGGGGTTGGGTGTGGAATTGTCCCCCAGTATCACTCTCCGGGCTGAAGGATGAGCTGTAGAGCTGCCTCCTGTCTGGGAACAATGTCCTGTGCCTTTGCATTTGCTGTTACAGCAACTTCAGGGCAACACCAATGTTGCAGAAAGGCTGATTACCTTTTGTGGTTCATCCTGATTCCTGAGGGAAATGTCGGGAGCTTTTTAGCATATTAACTCTTCTGTGAGCCCATGGAAGCTAAGTGTGTAATTAAAGGAGAAGGAGGGTTCAAAAGGCTGAGTGCCTCCTGTTGAACAACAACTCTCCCACGGGATGCAGCTGTAGGTGCAAAGCAGCTAAGTGATTTGTGGGTAATTTTTAACCCCTCTGTTTCTGCTGAAGCTAGACACATGTCATTCCTGGCTGTTAAAGGAAGGACCATGAATTTCTACAGCACTAGAACTGTGTGATACCTCTCAGGAGTCAGTCTTGCAGCTGCTGCTGCCAACGTGCTGGCAGCCAGCACCTCTCAAGCAGTTTTTACTGGGCCCTGTTCTCATGCAGAACAGTTCCAGCCCCTGAAAGTGAGAGGTTCCTGGTCCCTCTGTTGCCACCCTCCGGCACAGGAATGTTGGGGAATATGTTTACAAGTCTGATGTATGTGACTCTGAAAGGATTTTGCAGAAAATAACAGTTTGTCTTGCTTGCTTTTGCAGAAAATAACAGTTTGTCTTGCTCCCCCATGAAGAGTTCTGTCTTGAGGGCAGTGGTGAGTGTCCTACCTTACAGATGGTAACTGCACTCCTAAATTCTTTGGTGCTTTTAGATGGATAGTAGTCCAAGCTCTTCTTCTCATGGCTTTAAATGTTATGTGTGAACAGGACTGTTAAACAAGCTTCTGAGTAAATAAAGCACACTCAGAGAGGTGCCAGTTTCATGATTACCTGTTACACTCCACTGCCTTGTTCAGCACCTGCAGTTCCATGTTGTGGCAGCTGGTGCATGTGTGAAGGGGGAGAGCTGCCACAGTTACACTTCTGGCACAAAGGCACAACTATCATTCTATACCAAGTACTGAGCATCAGCCAGCACATGATATGCAGCTACTCTGTGTAGAAATCATGGGAAGCTGGGGGAGAAAAGGAGAGAGAATTATGTTTTTATTATGACTTGCATTACCTTTAGGTTAATAAACTTGTACTGCCAGGAAAACATAAACATAGGCTCGTGACTTCAAGTTTCAGTGGAGCTCTTGCTGCAGAACCACACATTATTTGTGCATCCATCTCATCAGGAAATCCAGGGCCAAGAACCAAGTTTAAGAACTATGCCACAAGATTAGCAGAGGTGTTTTAAGAGCTGACTAAATGCCACTGCATCGGGAAGTTTATGCTCTGATTAGCAGCCGTGAAGGTCACTGCCACTCCCACCTCCTCTCCACCCAGCCTGAAGAAGGGCAGCTGCCTGTAAGCATCCACACCTCAAAAAGTGGACACTGCTGTTTAAAAGTTTGCTTTGGTAACTAAATCTCGCTTGAACTCCCACCCCTGCAGACTGTTAATGGAAGTCTGTAAACAGAAACTGAACAGGCTCTACCCAGAGTTCAAGTGTAACAGTTCATGTTTCATGCTTTTAATTCTATGGGTAACTAAGCATCTAACCTGAGGCTCCACGTTATCAGAGATGAGCAGCTTTCCTAAGTAAGCATTCCTAAGTAAGCATAAGTCTATAAGATGCCAATATTTCAAAACTGGAGGGCAGTAGGAGATCCTCTCATTGATAAAACCAGAATTAAGGAATGTGTTAATAGGATAAAGTAAAAAGCAAATTAATATTTATGGTGTTCTAGTGTCTCTTGGCAGAGAAATTAGACAACACATTATGGTGATTTTATAACATAACCTTCCCTTTTGTAGCTTAAGGGCAGAACTACTCAGCATTCCTTAATTTATAATTTAATAATGAATTTAAAAAACCCCAACCCAAACTCTCTTTGCAGAGCACCCTTTAAGGCTACTAACTATGCAGATAAAAAGCCTTCTTGAAACTGTTGCTTCTCCAAACAGATTTATCTTCTTATCCTACATCAGCCTAGAAAGAGTGCCAGTTATACCAGCATTCTCCACAGTTTAAAACCTGTTTGTCTCTCCAGGAAGCAGAAGCCACTTTCTCAAAAGCTGAGCTTTCCTCCAAGTCTCCTCACAAAGCTTTCATGCAGCCACTGCCAACACATGAACTCAGCAGAGTCCTGTGAGTCCTGACTATTCTTGTCAGGACTACTGAGAGAGAGCTGCTCTGAAGGGCAGCTCTGCACACCTGGCAGCCACAGAGACTGGGGCACAGCAGGTCTGACAGCAGCTCTGGCTGCTGCCCTGGAGCTCACAGTAGGATGATAGTTGGTTTTGCCAAAGTTCAAGGAATACTGCATACATCTGACATGGGCAGAAGCCCATGGAATGGCACTCATCACCTCCCTTACAGACAGGCTTGATGGGGACTTCTTGATTCTGACAACCTGGGCAGTGCACCTTCCATGCTTTTAAATGAATGAAATTTAGGGGTGTAAGGGGCTGCACCCAGGATTAGCCTGAAACACTGGCACTAGTAATTCGCTGCACTGTTTTGGGGTTGGTATTTTGAGGGTGGGGGATGGGAAGCAGTTTTGTTTATTTTGGGGTCTTGGTTTTTTTGGGGTGGTGGTGGTGGTGTTTTTATTGTTTTAATATAGCTATCATTAGATGACTTTGGAACCATTCACAACCCAGTAGGCTCCAAACAGCCCTGCTACAGGGTAGCACATAAAAGGTCACCAGAAAACAATTTATATCTTCACCTCATGTCTGCAATGTTTTGCAAAATGCTCAGGTGCTAATCACGGCTAAGCAAGCATAAACCTTCTGAGATGAAACTACACAAGTTACATGGACAGACATTTCAACCAGCAGGTATACACACCTTGCTACAAAGGTCTCAGCATACCTCCTGGAAGCACTGACAGATGGCTAAATCAGGTAGTATACCAGGAATTTCGGGATTCTTGAACATCCTTAGCAAAAGAACAAAAAAGTAGCACACCAAGAACAAACAAAAAAATAAATAACAAGGCTCTCTGCATGCAAAGACCATGACTGTTCTAACACAGCTTCAAGTTCCAGCTAACATTTGCCTTGACAATACTTTTTGGGTCAGCCAGTATGTTCTTGTGTCAGACATTAAACACCAGCAGACATCTCGTAGCTACAAGGTGAAGTTTGTAGGGCACTCAGTGCTGAGGGGACTGAGGCCATCCTGATGGATTTTCTTCCATGAAGCACTGAGAAGAAAGAGGACACTTGCACTGAGTGAGGCAGAATTACTGCTCACCCTCAGCTGAGAGCTAGAAGCTTCTGCACTCTCTCACAAGGCCTAGGATTATTTATTGACTGTAGGAGTAAGACAAATAGGAACTTTTGCTCTCTCACTGGCATAGAAGGCATTTCCTAGTGTGTCTGCTCTTCTGCCTGGCAACTTCCTAAAGGATTCTGAAATACAAGGAAATTCTGGATGTGAATGTCTTCTTGAGCCAAAGACGTGGAAGACATAAGGTGGTGGGTTAACTAAAACCAGAATAGATCTCCAAGTCATCCTCTTGTTTAAAGTTCTGTTTTGCTTTTCTCCTAATACAAGTGATCAACGTAGTATGAAGCAACTACTAAGGAGCACGAGAAAATAGCTGTTCATTATGCATTACCACTATCTTAAAGGGATTTATTTCAACAAACATAACCACATGTGACGAAAATAAGTCAAAGGTTTGCCTTGCCTAGTTCCAGTAATCCCCAAATCAGTTTTGAAAGTCCTGAAAATGAGTTTGGGAAGTGTGTTTTGTTTTAAAGAAACCAAGTATTTCTGCTATAGAACAAAAATAATGTATACATTTTTATGTTACGTTTATAACAAGGCTTTTAAAGAAAACAGTTACAGGTATTCAATTGCATCAGACTTCAAAAGAAAAAAAGATTACACATACAATACAAAAATACAAAAAAAATATTTTTAGAACTTACAAACTCAAAAAGTCTAAGTGGTCAGAGCTTTCCTAAAATAATAATAATAATAATAAAAAAATACACTTCAAGATGCACTTTCCTTTCTGCACTTGCAGGTTCAAATTTTGCATGAAGAAAGTTTTAGAGGCAGGATGAGAACAATTAACAAATTGAATTCCTCAACCAATTCCAGGCTGAAATTAATTTAGTGGTTGACACTATCAGGTATTTGAGTTTAAAAAGAACCTTCAGTTTGGGGGAGACAGGGAGCAGGTGGTGCTGTTGCTGTTGCTAACTTTCTGTTCAACCAATTCTGCTAGTAAAGCATTTTAAAAACATCCAGTCTGAGTTAGACTGAAATTTAGATAAGTCATTACTAGAACTGAAGTCCTACAGCTCTACTGTGCAGTCTGAAGGCTAAGGAATTCAACTGACCAGACTTACAATCCCTGCTGGAAATCACAGCAAAAGGCAGGAAAAGGCCAAGTTTTATTTCCAAAGTTGAAACTTGTTAGAAGCATTAGGAGTGCAAATACAGGATCATTCTTTGACCTGATAGTGTCCACCGAGGTCAGAGGCATCGAGGCATTTTGTTTTAAATGGCAAGACAGGGAAAGTGCATCTTAGATTTTTCATACTTAAGCAGTGAGTTAATGATTTTTGGTGTGGCTTTTATTCCTTCTAGACATAGTAAAGAAAAATATCTCAACCAAATGTGAAGCTTAATGTACATTAGCTTGTATTTTTGGTGGTGGCTTTTGTGTGCCACTAGGAAATGCTAACAAGCACTACTCAAGGCTAATGATTTAAGAGGAGCACACTGAAAATACTGATTTACCTTTGTAGTGAATATTCTTTACAGACTGTATCTAATATACAGACAAGGCCCATTTCCTTAGGGTGAAACAGGCCACAGAAGGTTACACATCCTACATGAAGTTTTAAACAAAATTAGGGCTAAGTCACCCGAGCCACCCAGAGCAACGTAATTCCTCGTTTGCAGAGACTTAACAAAAGGTGACTGCAGGGAGAGAAAAAAAAAATCCAGGCTCTTATTATTTCCTGTGTAAGATTATATTCAAATTAATAGTCCAGTAACACTTGTAGCACAAGACAATGCTCACTCTCTTTAGCAGTATTTCTGGGAGTCAACTGTTTCTCCTGCTATGAAGAGGGAGCCAGAAGTGAGAATGCAAGAGCATTCAATTTTAATCTGATTAAAGAGACAGTAACCTTTTTCATCCACCTTAATTAATCACTGACCCAAAAAAAAATCTTAAAAAGGTACCACTCCAATTTCTTTATTATCTGTAACCTTTTGAAACTAATCACATGAACTACAAAATTAGCAAATGCCTTGAAATCTGTATACAAAACATAAATTACCTCTAATTTCAAACTCATTTATTAGTGTACCACTCAAAATCTTAAAAAAGTGGCTCCAAAGATAGTCTCAAACCATTCTTAAAAAAGGAAACTGTTCCTTTAATGTTACACCCTCCCCTCCCCCCAAACACCCAACTTGTAATCCACATCATTTAGTTATTTTCTTGGTCATGGACATTTCCAAGATGAGATTTTATATTTCTTTCCCATAGCTTCTGGTTGTCAGAAAATCCATGCTTTCCTTTATTGAAAGAATTTGGTCCTGCTGAGGTTGGTGTATCCCTGTGAAAAGTGAAACAAGAGCAGTTGAGGAAGTCAGCTCAACTACAGTAGGTCTCTGCAATGTCACACAGAAAATGCCAATTTCAAGTCCACTCTGCTGTCAAAAACTACCACACATTTTTTTTGTTACATCAGGAGTCCTTATTATAGCAACTGTCACTTGGCCACAGAACTGATGTCTCCATAGCACATCAAAACAGAGCCATGAGAGAGGGCAGCAGAGCTGGGAGTGGCAGCAACTGCTGCCATCAGTGAAGAATTTGTTGCCAGGACTGAAAAAATTGAGGATCCAAATTTGCTCCTGGAGAATAAAACCCCACTACACTAATGAACCTCCAGAGGACTAACTTTAAGAGCAGTTTAGCATGATAAACACATTTAAAATACATGATCAAAATTCATCTAATTTAAGCAAAGCCTCCTCTGAAAAAGTCCCAATTTATTTTAGGATTGGCCCTCTACTGTCCCAAATCTGTGGCAAGCAGAAGAACTATATAACTTGTTTTAAAAGTAAACAAGCAATTGTTTGTCTTTCGGAACGAGATAATTCTCATCTTCCTCTCACATGGGAGTTTAAAAACCTGATCTGACTTCTCCAAGGCAATTTATACTGAGAACCAGAAAGACACAAAACTCAACAGCAAGCTGGAACTCCCACCTATTACCTTTCCAAGAAGAAACTGAGCTTCTGTTTAATGCAGAATCAATTTCTTCCTCAGAAAGAAAGTAAATAAGACTCAAAGTTCAAATGTAAATAAGATTCAAAGTTCAAACGTAAATATACAACTTTTAACCCACAGATTAAACATGCGAAAAATTTCTTGTTTCTGGAGAATAAAAAAATTTCAAACCTATTCTATCTTCCTGTATTTCTAAAACCATCTGCAAGATGTGGCCTGTGCTGGAGGAGGTATTCTCACACACTCACCCATTCCCAAACCACAGTTAAAAGCTGACCTACCTTCCGATGTTCTTCATGCGCATCTTGGCTTCTGGAGGCATTTCTTCTGGTTCACTCTGCAGAGAGAAAGGAGGTTAGAGCGTGGCTGGGCACCTGCTTCTGAACATCTCAAATGCCTGACAAGACCAAGTATGGACTACAGCCCTACAGGAAAACAAAGTGACTCAGGACAGAACAGAGGTCCTACAAGGTTGTAGGATGAAATGCAAATTCCTTTGTTCACCTCTGTGTAAAAAGGAGCAGAAATATTTAGCAAACCAGGAGCACAACTTTCTTTCACCTCCCCTTTATCAAGCCCAGAGAAAGAAACCATTAACTCAAATTATGTTGTGTATCTCATTTTCAGGGAAAGGTTATCAGCACTTTAATGATTTCTTAACCCAACAAAGAGCCACAAAGTTGTACATTCTAAAGCAGAAAAAATGCTTCTAGGCTGAAAACTCCTGACATTTACGTAAAGAACCTTAAATAACCCACTCTCTCTGCCTACCACACCACCAATGGTATTTTGTGTTGATCACAGGCTTATTACTCACATCTTCATCTTCATTGAAAGCTGCTGCTACAGAAAGGGTTTTTGGAGCCAGGGTTGGAACAGGCTCTTTAGGCTTCTGAAAAAGACCAAATGCACAAGTAAAGTTAAGTCCAACTTAAAATTAAGTCAAGTACTTTCACTGAAATGGGTAACCGGGGGAAAGTTTGTTTCAATCAAGCACATAAAGGTTTCTCTAATGGGAAATACTTCTCTAATGGGCTATACTTCTAGATAAACTGGCTGCTTGTGGCTTGGATGGGTAGACTCTTTGATAGGTAAAAAACTGACTGTATGGCCTGAACCAGAGAGTTGTTGTGAATGGAGCTAAATCCAATTGGTGGCTGTCACTAGTGGTGTTCCACAGGGCTCAGTATTGGGGCCTGTCCTATTTAGTATCTTTATCAAGGATCTGGGTGTGGGGACTGAGTGCACCCTCAGTAAATTTGAAGATGACACTGGGCTGGGTGGGAGTGTTAATCTGCCTGAGAGTAGGAAATCTCTACAGAGACACCTGGACCGACTTGGGCTTTGGTCAACTGCATGAGGTTTAATAGGCAAAGTGCCAGTCCTGCACTTGGGACACAACAACCCCATGCAGCACTACAGCCTGGGGGAGGAGTGACTCAAGTGTTGTTCACCAGAAAGTGAGCTGGCAGTGCTGGTGGACAGTTGCTCAATATGAGCCAACAGTGTGCCCAGGTGGCCAAGAAGGCCAGTGGCATCTTGGCCTGTATCAAGAATAGTGTGGCCAGCAGGACTAGGGAAGTGATCATCCTCCTGTACTCAATATTGGTGAGGCCACACCTCAAGTGCTGTGCTCAGTTTTGGGCCCCTCACTTTAAAAAGGACATTGAAGCACTGGAGTGAGTCCAGCAAAGGGCAATGAGGCTCCTAAAAGGCCTAGAAAACACGTCCTATGAGGAAGGGCTGAGGGAATTGGGGTTGTTTAGCCTTGAGAAGAGGTGCACCAGGGGTGACCTCATCGCTCTCTACAACTACCTGAAAGGGGTTGTAGAGAGGTGGGAAATGGTCTCCTCTGCCATGGCTGCAGTGAGAGACTGGAGAGAACAGTCATAAGCTGAGGCAGGGGAGATTCAGCTTAGGTGTTAGGAAAATTTTTTTCACTGTTAGGATGGGCAGGCGCTGGAATAGACTGGATTCCTGGAAGTGTTTAAGAGGCATCTGGATCTGATGCTGGGGGATGTGGTTTAGGGGTTACAGCAGTGGCAGGCTGATGGTTGAACTCAGTGATGTTAGAGGTTTCCTCCAACCTTGATGATTCTATGAAAGGAAAATGACTGCTCGTTTGTGTGTGATACACACTGAAGAGCAAGCTGAGCACTATCATATTACAACCCCCCACAAGCAGGTCTTAACTTTCTAGCACACTGCAGGGGTACCCAGCCACTGGTGCATGACATGAACAATTTAAACAGAACCTGAATAAGTTGTGGCATTCAAAATTTTACTATGTCACTGTTTCCATTATTCTTTTGGAGTATTCTTATCCATCAGTTTCAGAAAGATTAATATGTTTGTTTTCTTGTATTTTAACAACACAACAGCTTTCTGGCTTAAATCAATTCAATACTTTTAAACTAGCACCAGTTTGTATCACACAGTCTGATTAATATGAGGTTCCTTAAAAAAGTATTATTTTTATTTCCAATAAAAATTCTCCTCTATTTAAATTGTAAAAGGTATCAAACTCACAACTGTTACAGGTAATACAACAGTTGTACCAAAAGTTATTTCGACACCACTAAGAAAGAACCAAGTCATCAGTAACAGTTTTCTTCTACAGCACTGCCAATTATCTAAATCAATCATATACAGCGCTTTCTCCATTTTGACTTTATTGGTCATTATTTAATACACACTCATAGAAGCTGATGCTGCAGCAGAGTCCTTATGCAACTGCCTGCAGCTGCTCTTTACTAGTAGTGTACAACATACAAATGTTGCACCATTTTTAAAGCAGCTGCTCCACAGCAATGGGTAATGTGCTAAGGGGGTAAAAATGACTGAAAAGAGTAAGTTTCAGCACTATCCAATCTGGTGCACTGTCAGTCACATGCTAAATTCAGTGAGCCAGAAATCTGGAGCCAAATTTATTGCCAGCAGAAGTATCTCTGGACATGAGAAACTGAAGCATGTGAATGACTCAGAGGAGGCAGCTTGGTCGACTTCTCCAAAGTCTGAGCTGACCTGATTGCATTTATACCCCACAATGCTGCCAGCCCACATCTCCCTTACATCTCAAAATAACAGAGCACTCTCTGAATCTTATGCAGGTCTGTAAAATGCTGGCATTGCAGATGCAAGCCTCTCATGATTACAGTTTGAATTTAGTGCAGACAAGTATTCATAATGTATCCCTCAGAGTGGTACATGGGAAATGTACATGAACTGTATTAAACAGAGAGGCAGCATCTGGCCAGTCCCTGCTCAGGACAGTAGAGAACTACTTTGGAATCATCAGATTCACATCTAAATAAGCACAAGAATATCTTGTACTGGACAGAAAAAGGGGATCGGAATCCCCAGAAACCTATGTAACAAAGCCTCATCTCTTGCACACAGCATAAATAAGTTATACTGACCTTGCAAAGAACATGCAAAGTCATATACTTTCCCATGCTAAAATAAGATCTTTGGAGTGGAAGACAACTATTAAGCCATCTAGGAGATGCTTTCTTGTAGCTTTAAGCATCCTATGTAAAATGAAGCTCCCAGTATTCATTTCAAAGTAGCCTAAATAGTTTAATAAGTCTGTTCATTTCCCTTGACCTATGTAAAATGAAGCTCCCAGTATTCCTTTCAAAGTAGCCTAAATAGTTTAACAAGTCTGTTCATTTCCCTTGGGAAATCATTCCCCACTTAGCAACTCTCATTACAAAATTATTCTTTATGTTCAAAGATCTACAGTTCATTTCAATCAAGCCCTGTGCTTCCTGAGACAACTGACCTGTTATTAATAACCTTGCAGTACTTACACATGCATGACTAGCTGGCCCTACAATGCTTGTTTAAACTTTATCCAAGTTTCCTTCATGGAATTCAAGGTTTCCTTCCACAAGGAGGCCTCCCCAAAGTACTTCCCTTTTTGCCTAGTTTCCCCAAAATTAAAAAGTCCTCAGTAAACTTACATTTGCTCCTAGTTTGATGGATATTGCAGATGCCTTCTTTGTTGTCTGACTGCCTATGGAAAATCCAAACTTGGACATTTTGGCAGGAGCAGGCTTTGTGGTGAAGTCTTCAGCTTCTTCATTAGCTGCCCGTTTCTCTGCGCTGCGACTCGAACTTTCTCCTCCATTACTGGAAGAAACAGTCTTAGTTTTCACAGGTTTTTCTGCCTCTTCTTCAGGTCCTGGTGAAGTCGAAACAACTTACCAAGATGAGCTACTTTTACTGAGCAGATTGATGGGAGCAGCAACCTCAAAAAGCATTATACTTTGGGTGCAAAAAGTAAGGTGTTTTTAGTGACAACAGTTTCCACCAATGCACATTTAGTGGACAGCAAAACACAAAGAGGAGAAGAAACTGCAAGCACTCCACTACTTGTAAAGAACTTCTTGTGTATGAGCCAGGAAAACAATCTTGAAGCACCATCTCTTTATTTAGTATGGAAGTCAAAGTTCATGTAGTAAATTAAATGTAGATGACTAAATCTTTTTAGGTTTTTAAGTTGCCATAGATAAGCTTTCAGAACTGGAATCCCAATTCCAAATCTAGAGTAGATAATCTAAGTTAGAATTAATTCTACTGGATTTCTACAAAAACATGTCCATGCCAGTCTCAAGGCTTGTCTGGCAAAACTCTAAAACCCAGGGAGTGACTACAGTGAGGCCGGATGGCTGTCTCAATCATGTTTCAAGTCACTGCTTGTCCACATCTCATCTGTAATAAATCTGCCAAGCTCTGCTTGAGGAAGGAATCAGCACTAAAAAAACACATATATATATATTTTTCATCTTTTCTGGTTTTGTATAAAGTCATGGAAAACACAGCAGCTGAGCAGTGATCCACAGAGGGGAAAAAAAAACATTCCAGTAACATTTTCATTCCTATATATTCAGCTTCTTCAGCTACACCAAGAGACAAAGGTGTCCTTGGAAAACTCCTACTGAACATAGTAAATGCTTCAGCAGAAATATATTTCCCTGCTGCTGCAACAAGCAAATCACTGCAGTAGCAGAAGGGGAAGAAAAAAAACACCACCAACACACATTAGGGAATGCACAGGGAAGTGCTCATACTAGCAGTTTAAGACAAAACTGGAGCTAGCACCAGATCCTCATGATATCAAGTGGAGAACAGAACCTTCCATGTACAGCAAATTCAGTCCATCAGGGAAGAAAGCTCTTTGCACTGCTAACGGCAAAAAGCTATCAAGTAAGATGGAGCAATGAGAGAGAAGAAAGACTGAATTGGAGGTCAACAGGATTGTACCTCTGAGGAAAAAAAAAGCAGCAAAGAACATCAGTAGAAGGAAAAACTAGGGACACCATCTATATACATATTTGTCTGCTATTTTTCAAATAAGAAGCAGAATATGCCATTTCTACCCCAGTCTTCCAGTTATCAAGATAATAAAAAGATTGAAACAAAAATGTGATCTGCCATATTTCCAAATAAATAAAAAAATGAAATTTGTAACTTTAATCAGTTTGACAGTGTTAAAAAAATGATACTAATCTGCACCACTAGAAATCTGACCCAGAAAACAGATATAAAAGTGAAAAACAAAGGAGGAAAGACAAACAAGCAAAATTTACACAAGTGACCTTGGGCACTAATAACTATCTTAGCACAGTTTAGCAAACAGCATCCTGCAAGGCTATGAGGAGATCTTTACAGCTAGTCCATGAGATCACATTGAACAGAATATACAATTACAAGTCCAGCCTAGGTACACTGGAGACTGAGTCAAGGGTAGGTAGAAGATTGGCCTCAAAAATGCTGCAGCCGTGGGCCTAGAAGTCTTCTCTTTCTTAAGATACAGAACCCACAGCAGCCCAAACCTCAGGGAACACGGGAGCAGCCCAGGCTCCTAAACTAGTGCTAGCTTGAAGCTAATTACACTACACCGTACTTCTTTCACTGCAAATTCTAGAATACTGCTAAGCACAAGGTGAAGCCTATCTACCCACATCTGTTTTCTCACTGAATTTTAAACAGCATCTCTCTCAACATTAGCTCCTATCACCATTAAATTCTGAGTGTTACTTCTGCTAGGCTTGACTGCAGGGTGCTGAAAGAAACACTCTTACTTGCTGGTAGAGCTGTAAGGGGACAGTTGGGGAAGGTGAGGAGAGAGCCCTTGTGCTGCTTCATTTCTGCAGAAAACTGAAGTGCAAATGTATATTAATCCACTAAACAGGCCTCTTCCATCTCCCATGCCAATGCATATATATACACCTCGAGACATTAAGGCCTCTTTACTACTTCCCAGAGACATCAGGTAGGTCACACTTCATTTACAACAACCACCAGTACTGTTTCTTGAACTGGACTGAGTATTGCTCTTTTCATGGATGGCAGTAAGAAAAAGCTGTTCTGCCTCACAGATGAGTTTTACTCATATATGGACACACCATGTTAAGTGGACAAGTTCCACTCTCTGAAGGGGCAGGACTGACAGTGTCAGCTGCACAACACTTCAGGATTTGTTGTCCCTGGGACTGTAACCACTGGTGGGGGTAGGAACAGACCAGTTACAACTAAATTAACTTTAAGATAAACCCCACTAATCTTGGCAAAAGCTAAAGGCTCCAAATTGCTTTCAAAAAATCATCAGGGAGTAACTATCCTTCCTCAGGGCCACTCACCCAGATCATGTTCCAGCACACCAAGCAGGACACAAGGCAGTGTGGATTACCAACACACTGATGCTGTCCAGCTACTGTATCACTAGGCCAAAAAACAAGCCCTACCACCACCAAAAATACCCCTAAAAATCAAGGAACCACCTAAAATAAAGTATCACTGCACAAATTTCAGTTATTATTGGAGACAGCATTCACTGTTGGGGCTATCCTAATTGGTTTACAAGCCTGACTTAATTTTCCAGCAGATCAAAGAAATGCAAGCTGCCTATGGATGTATTTAAACTGGGGAAAAAACCCAACAGCAATAAAAACAACAAAAAGAAAACACCAGGAAAGGAAAGTTTTATCTTTGGGACGACATTGTCTTCTCAACTTTAAGTCAAGGGAAGAAAGAAGAAACATCCAATAAAAAAAAATTTACGAGAAATAGTGCAGAAATGACAGGAATGTCCAGTCATAATATAAATACTATAAAACCAAACAGCAAACTTAGGGATTGCTGGCAAGAAAAGGCAACAAGAAGCATTAAACGGCATTTAAGCAATATTCACCGTACCCGTTTGCAAAAAAAGGCAGCACGGCTGTTAAAAGTTAACCTTTAAGGCGCCGTCTTCACCCTTGCAGGTAGGCACAGTCAAATTTCTCTCACCACACGGCGCTAAGCACCCCGTGTGCTCTTAACAGAGAGAAATGGCGCAGTGACGCGGACAAGGAGGAGTTGCTGTAGGTTTACAAAAGAGCCCGTAAAGCTCGGCCTGAGCACAGCCCGGGCCAGACCTCCAGC